CAATTGGTCAATTAGGAATGCTATTCGACTACAACAATGAAGGTTAGACATCTCATATTTGCACAAGAAATATTTTCAAATATTGCATGAAGTGGCTAAAAATGTTATCTACTAGAGTGTGGGTCTGTTAATTGCTGGGGATCAGTTAAGTGAAAATCGCATGCTGAGAGTTCATAATTCTATTCCAAAATTTCCATACCTGGCAAAAGCCTGAAATGTAACTGTTTGGACATCTAAAAAATGGACAGAGGCCATTTGCGGCCACTGAAAAGTCAGCCACCATGTTAAAATACTGAAGCAAACAGACTACTTGTAAGTTGCAACCACAGCTAAATCAGCAATAATTGCAATATCATCCACCAGCAATTTTACACAAACCAGACATCTGTTAAGCCAATTCCCCTGGTGGCCCATCCGTATCCCAAAATCCCATTAAGGGTCAGCACAAAATATCAAGTATGAAAAACCAATTTTGAAGGAAAATATAATAATGTTCCTCCTCTACCTAGCAAGGAAAGTTTCATTCTTGGGAAAATGATCGGCTTCATCCTTCACATTTCATAAAAATATTTTTTTCGTCCCTCACTTTTAAAATGAAACAATTTCGTCCTTGACATTTAAAAACTAAAATTATTACATCCCTGAACCCAAATTTCAATCTAAATCAAACCACCAATCAACCTGATTATAAATTTTGGGGGTGTAATTGGTAGATCACTTAGTTAACTCAACTTGATATTCATGTAAAATTTAATGAACCTAAAAATAAAAAATAAAAAATTATAATATAAAAAAGAAAGATTAATCTTTTCTACATTATCATTGTATACACTGACAGTTTTATGTACCGCCATATTATTTTAATTTAAATTTAAACATCAAATTTTATATTTATGATACACATCTAGATTCGCAAGCGGATATACTAATGGTGCATGAAAAGATTTATAAAAAAAAAACTCTACTATTCCAAGACAAAGAATGGCCTTTTATGTTATAATTATTATTTTTTTGGTTTAATAAATGTCATGTGAATACGATGAAGTTGACCGAATGATCTATCAATTCTATTTTCGAAATTTATTACTGGGTTATTAGATGGTTTAATTCAGATTGAAAATTAGGTTCAGGGATGTAATAGCTTTAATTTTTAAATGTCAGGGACGAATTTGCTTCATTTTAAAAGTGAGGGACGAAAAGAATATTTTTGCAAAATGTGAGGGATGAAACAGGTCATTTTCCCTTCATTCTTTTGAATATGCAAGAACAACATCTTCAGAATGGCAGTTGTTTCTCTATCAAAGCGAAAAACTGGCAATAGAACTTTGATAACAGTTCAATGAAAGCATACAAAACTCGGTGAAAATCTACTCCATAACAGCAACTCCTCCTACAGCCTTGATTTTCTCTATAATATCATTTGCCTCTTCTTTAGTGATACCTTGCTTAATTAAAACTGGTATTTACTCAACTAAATCTTTGGTTTCCTTCAACCCCAAATTTGTGAAAGCACGAACCTCTTTGATCACCTTAATTTTTGCAGCAGCATCAAACTTTTCTAACTTGACATCAAATGCAGTTTTTTCAACCTTTTTCTCCTCAGCCTTTGAAGACCAGCACCAGACCCTCCCTGAGGACCCAAGTCCATGCCCTCCACTAAAACTGGTTGAATCTTCGGATGTCTTAGTCTGTCTCTAAGCGTGGGACCAATCAAATTACGCTCTTCAGGAGACAGGGCTGCAATATGTTCTGCAAGCCGAATGATCTTATATGAAGGTGGGGGTCTAGGGCCATAAGGATGATAGAAAGCAGGATACTTGTGTCTTACGGGCTTTGATTCGGGATCCCTGGGAATGAAATCAGGCTGAAATGCACGAGACTGTAGAGGGCCAGTAACCACACGAAGAGCGGGATAGCTACGCAAGGATTTGAAAACTACAGAAAGCTTCATGGTTTGAAGATAGTTACAAAAAAATAAACACTGAAGGATGATTTCTGGTGAAGCAGTGCCCTTTGGCACTTGTAGTACTAAATGCAGCAAATGAATGTAATCCTTCCTTCCTGTGTAGAAGCTTCACATCCTATTTCCAGTGAGCTTCTCACCTTAAGAAGAGAAATGGGGAAGATGTCAGTCTCATTCATATTTTCAGGGACTATCATCTCATTCTGGAATATGGAAATCCTACTGGTATAAGAAGACTAATCAACAATATGACATCCAGTATTGCAAGCCGTTTACAACTCATAAATTTTCAGTCCACCAATCTGATGCCATTGGCTACCATGCTTGATAAATATCTTTTGCATGAATGTGCTTTGGGAGAGAAGACCACACGCAAGAATGTTTTGGTAAATGGTAGCATTCTAGGAATTGACTTCCATGCATATACCCAGAGCATGGCAGACTAGGCATACAACAAATCAATACTAAGCAACGTTTTTTTGGATTAAGTTTGGTATTAGGCTGCATTCTTACTTGCAATCAAATATTACAAAGGAACAATCTTTAAAGAGAGTGGTCGACTTATGGAATGAACCTAACCCTTATGAAAAGCTAATGTGCAAAATATACCAATCGATTCAATATTGAGTACCCTTGCAAGATTTTCTTGTTCAAAATCCAAAATATCCAATGTCTCAATAGATCAAAGGAGAAAGAAAAACTAGGAAAGGCATTCGAGGGCTTAAGTAAGGAACAAGTGCAAGTACTTTCGGATTATTTTCATTCATAGTTCACTCATATGCAAAAGAAACCTTAACAGCCAACTTAGGGAACAAATTTTACATCCATATTCATTCGGGTTTCAGATCAGTTCCAGCCAAAAAATAAAATAAAATAACTCAAGCGCCAGAACTGACAATTTCATTGAACTTCAATAGGTCTAAACACAAAATAAAATCCAATCACCAGAAACAAATTGTTATGACAAAATATAAACTTTATGGAGAAAAGCTAACCACCAAGAAATAAAGAACTCCTGAGAGACCTAATAAGGCATTAGCAACGAAAGGTTCACAAGCTACAATCAAGATCAAGAAATTAAAACATAAATAAATCATCCATTTAACAGGGGGAAAAAAAGCCTTCATAGCTAAATAAACAAACAAATGAACTTACCAATTTTTTGTTGATGTTGTGGGTTGCATAAACGAATACATAGAAGGACAGTGAGAAGTATCTGCGTTTGCAAACGCGAATAAGAACCCTGACGGATATTTAAGTGCCCGTTTTGCAATAATGCCCTTTTTTTTTATTGATTTTACTCTTTGGCCCCGTAAATTACTTTACCAGTGTCTGGCTCCTTTATGGCTTTCTCAATCGCCTTCTTTTATTGTTTACCCTTTTTTTTGGGATAATTTCAAAAAATCTATGAGGTTTCTCGTAATATCATTCAGCTCCTTGAGGTTTGTAAAATTTTGCTTACCTCCTCTGTGAGTTTGACGAGACTAAATATTCTTATCAAATGTCATAAATTGACAATAACACCTTTGCTCTTAATAACTATTTAACCAAAAAGTCAAAAAGTAAAATTGTTAAACCAAAAAATGTAGATTAAAACAAAAAATGAATTGTTATCTAATAATGGTCTATATTTCTCTATATAGAGATCCTGGTGGGACAGCAAAAGATGTGGATAAATTAAATCTATTTAGAATCAACCATTCAGGAGGATTTTGGTGAGTAATTAATACCTTGAAAACTTTCATAGATAGTTATACGAAAGTCAAGAAATTTTTTGGGGAAATACATTTTAATACATGATGTAGTTTAAGTTATGTTAAAAATTAAAATAATCTCTTCATATGTGTGAATTCTTCAAGGTGTAAATTTTGCTTTGTTCCAAAACAACTAGTTTAAGGTAAAAAATTTACAACTTATAAAAAGTTAACCTTATTTTATTTTTTATTGTTGTTGTAAACTTTATAAATTAAATTGTTGTTGTAAACTAAAATAAAAGTATTATCTTTCTTGCATTTCCTCAAAGGGGCTAAAATGCTACAATGAATGTCAATTCAAAGGAGTTAAGTGAGATTTTAAAGACATCAGGAGAGCTGAGTGATATTATGAGAAACCTCAAGATAGGTTTTTGAAATTATCCCTAGTAATAGTTATTTAGGGAAATGAAAAAGGGAAAGAGAACCCAAGAATGAATTAGTATGTTTTATTATTATTTTTTTGAATTACTTTACATGTTTTATTACTTTTTTTCGAATTTCTTTATTTATTGTCTTTTTTTAACTTAATAATAAGAGATGACCCCCAGATGAGAAGTTCAAGAATTTGGCCTATATTTCTAATTAACAATTTAAGGTAGTATCTAGTACCTCAATTTTATTACTCACAATGCCTCATCTCTTTCATGTCCAATTTCGTGTTCTTTTGTGCTTAATCCATTTTTCATATCTTTTTTTGTTTGTAAATATGTCGATAGCTAAATGAGAGTGTGCTACTTGTCGGTTTCTTTCTTATTTTGTGCACCAAGGTAGGAGGTAAAGTAGTACCCAACTGTTAATTTTGTGCTTAGACTTCTTGCTATTTAATAATTGATGATGATCATAGAGCAATGGAATAAGAATTAGTACATGTAAACAATCTTAACCACTCAGAAGATCAACTAAGGCACTAACGTCGAAAATGGCAAATCAATAAATGAATCAAAGCCATCCACTACCTTGAGAGCTTTGTCTTTCTTTTTTCAGCTTTTACATGGAAATGGCACCCTTCGGGCATCTGCCATCTTTGGTAAGGACCACCACGCTTGGACCACAAAGAGTAGTACAATAAGAGAATTGCAATAGTTGGAATTTATTACTGATTCTGATGAAGGTTGGAATGTATTACAATAGAGTAGTACAACAAGTATAAGTAATGGTTGGAATGTGTAACTGGTGTTTGGATTGCAAATTTATCTCAAATAATATTTCGCTTGCATCATAAACACATTTTTCAATCCACCTTTTTTATATTTTCAACTAATTTTTATCTCACATACATCACATCACAAAAAGTGCTACATTAATTATTTTAAATAATATTTCAAATGATACTCTATCCAAATACACTAGACACACTCAGTATTCAAATAATTATTCCAAGGTTTGCAGCAGGAATATTTTATGTGGCATAACATTAATCTAGGCTACTTGCGAGCTATCCCATAAACCTGAGGATTTGCTATTGAGGCAGAAGACACAAATGCCCGCTGAAGTTCAACAGATGAGAAGACTGCTTTAGCAATAACTTCTCCAGTTTTTCTAGTGAAGTGACAGCCATCAGCAACAAACTGCTGCAAAGGATCAAGAATCCCTTGGAAAAATCTCCGAATTGTTCCATCTGCCAGCAAAACAGACAAATCAAGGCTTTGACGTTATAATTCAGTTAGATGGAGGTGGCGGAGAAGTTAACATGAAATAAAAGCTTTCATTATCGCAAATAGGAAGTACATCTTTATTACCTTCTGCTGCTACGTGTTCCACAAACACACAGAGCCCACCTGGCTTTAGCACCCTCATAATCTCTGAAAACAATTACTAGAATGTGTATTAGCCCCTGCTATCTTCTTTTCCACTCGATATACACTGAGCAGTACAAACCTAGCCACTGAGGCGTATATGACATGTTCTTCCAACAAGAAGTAGACCATTCATATTTTCTTAAGACTAGGAGGCACAAACGCGATGGAAATCGAAAATGCCCTGGCCAGTTTTATATTGACCAAAAAGCATAATATATGAGGTATTAAAAATAGTAATTTATCTAGAAATCATTATTTGGCTGTAGTTTAACACATAAACCACTAATTGCAAGTCAAGATTTTGGCTGTTACAAATGATCACCCACAAAACAGATTAACATAGAATGCAAAAAAAAAAAAAAATTGTACATAAATACTTATAAAAAATTAAGCCACGTACAAACTAAATGGCATTTGAGCCATATTAATCAACAACCTAACTACTACAAAATATTTGTGGTTGAATTCTTTATAAGAATGATATCTACACATTAACTAAAAACATCTACTAAACTGTTCTCTAGAAAAAGACTAAACAGATTAAAAAATTACAATAATCAATTTAACATTGAGTCGCACTCCTAATCAGACTACATGAATGCCTAACACAGCACAACAGATTCCTCCTTCTTAGCTACTCTACCACATGATCCTGCACTTCAACATTCTGAAGCAAAAAATCACAAGGATAATCATAAACAGCATAAGAATAAATAGCCAATATACCCCACAATGTAAATTTGTCTCTCGACTCCATTGCAAAGGATCAGCCCCACAATGTAAGGTATGCATAAGACCATGACAACCATTAAGAACGTCATTTTTAACGATCCAAATTCTATTCCTTCAATAGAAAAATAGACACACAAAGAATTTCAGTTTCATACAAAATCAATAGACAAGAAGCACAAAATTTCCTCCATATGTCACAATGTCAAATACCAAAAGCAATTCAACTCAAATATCTGAGGTACAAACTCAAACAAAATTCAAAACTGCATTGAAAATTGGATTCTTATCAACAAGAACTTATTTTATTGAAAATCTGGTTTTTTTCTCAAGGATGAAGTTCAAACATACTCAAAACATTGACCGTGATTTTAGAAAAAATTTCATTATTTATAGCCATATGAAAACACAACCATTAACCTTTGACAGTTAACCTTCTTTGAATCTAGGGAAAAATTGCATTTTTGTTGGCAATATATATATTCTATCAGTTTCCACAAGATCAACCAAATTAAACTAAAATTCATGAGAAAACAGAAGATTTGAGGCTGTCAGCAAGTGCAACTTCACTAGTAATAATCGCAACACACCAAACATCTAAAACAAAGCAAAAAAATAGACATTAGGAATGACTCAGCATGCAGCCAACACAAAACTAACTGTAATTTCTCTCTTGCGATCAGTCCATTATATATAAAAAGAACAAAAGTAAGTCAAACTTTTTGGCATTCCATTTGGAATGACTCAACAAGCAACCAAAACAAAGAAAACTGACTGTAATTTTAATCTTGCGATTGGTCCATAATATATAAAAAAGAACAAAAGTCATTAACTTTTTGGCATTCCATTCACATTTCATGGTGGAAACTAACCTCAGCAATCATGAGTAACTATTCTCTGGCAGTTTGGCAGAGTGATTGCCTGCAAATATACATCATAAGAGTAATGAATATGATGGGGAAAAAATCTGTACACAAATCATAGCATGTACTACAATATTTTCCACTCCCTAATGAGACCAATAGTTGTATATTGATATAATACCCTCCTATAACAGTTCTATCATGACGTTCAAGCTACATTATAGAAGAAAAAATAGTAAAAAACAAATAGAACAGGTGATAGAGGGGCTCTAATTACTCAATTGCAAATCTATGTTAATACAGGTGCTGCTTTGATATTGACCTAACAGATGATACTAACATGTTCATTGCATCAGTCTTTGGTGACTTATCAGGGATTGCCCAAATTCACTACACTTCAGGCAAGCAAATCCCGTAACATAAAAGGGCTACACTTCGCTGCAGCACAACCTCTGTTGAGCACAGAAGAATAACCTACATAATCAACAGAAAGATGAGTATAACAATTACTGAACTTTGTGGCACAAAACAATCGCAGAATAAGCCAAAAAATAAACAAAACAAAAGAAATGGCACAAAAATTAGGAAAAGAAAACAAACACAATTAAAGGATGACTAAAACAGGTAGTTCTACATCATTTATACCAATTGTAATCATCATTCATCCCTTGATGTACATACCATAAAGAATTCATTAGCTATGAGCAAAGGATTCATTAGCTCAAATGAATGCTGCATTTTGAGAATGCACAAGAACATACCTTGGATTTGCATATTCTGGTAAGTATTGCAACAGGAAACGAAGAGCAGTATCTCTCTACAGCAACAAAATCATAACATATTTATTAGGCATATTATTTGAAAAGCCAAAAACTCAAGGATGGGAAAAAAAGAGGAGTGCTTGGCCAAACAAGAGGAGGGTTTCTTTTTTCTAGGAGGAGAAAAACCTATTATGTTTACTTATGATCTCTTCATTTCTAACTGCTAAAAATACACCGAAACAGAAAATGAGAATACAAAAAATCTGAAATTATCTATATAAAACATCAAGACAGGGGAATAGGATTCAGCTAGACCCAAAAATTATGTAAAAAGTAGCTACCATTTTGACAGTTAGGATCTTGAAGTTTTAGTTCTTCCAGTGCTAATAAAGATGATGGCAAAATTATGGATGAGCTTTAAGGGAAGATTATTAATTTCTTGTGCCAGGCAAAGAGAGAGGCTAACCAAGCAATTGAGTTGCATAGCTATTCCACATTAAATGGGAAAGCCTAGGAAGAAGAGTTACAGCAACATTTCCTCTTCCGCCACCCGGCAAACTCCCTCAGTCCTGCCCTCTCTAATCTTGCTGTCATGGTGTAGTACTTTTGAAAGTTTATACTTGTAATCATCCTTCTAGGACCACTTATCAATTAAGTATTTTATGTTTATTGAGTGCGATTTTTACTATATGTTTGAAGCAAGATGAAACCCTTGGCAACTCAATTTCAGTTAACATACTGAAGCACATTACATATACTTTTGCACAGTACTATACTGAAGCAATGGGTAAGTTATCATCTAGGCTATCTGATCAATGAGATTATCATAGCCAACAGGTATTATGAAGGAACTTTAGTCAAAGAAAAGAAAATGGATGGTCAGCTTGTTCATTCAAACCCAAACTTTTTCGGATGAAAGAAACAAGAAATGAATAAATGTATAACTATGAGCTGGACCTTACACAAAGGTATAATTAGGCTTTCTAACTCTGGGCATCAAAATCAAAGCTTCCTTGCCACCTGAACTCTAGGCAAATCGAGCATTTTAAATCTGCAATATCAAAATTTCAAAAAATCAACTTTCAGTTTATTCACCATTAACAGGAAGAAATACAAAGAGGAAAAAAAAACTAATCAAAAAAATACATAAAAATAGTAACAAAAATCAAAGAACATAAAATTTTAAAAAAATATATATAACAAGAAGAAATACAAAGAGGAAAAAACGAAGCACAAAAATACATAAAAATAGTACATAAAAATAGTAAGAAGACTCAAAGAACATAAAACTTTTTAAAATTACAAAAAATAAACGATACCTCTAATCCATGGCTGCAGTAACAGTCGTTGATTCTCTGAAACTAAAATTCCTAAAAAACTTAGAGATATATACAGAACACTGTGAAATTATATCGATCTATTGAATGTAAGGCTTTTCGGCAACTGCAAGCAAATCCGTGGGCAGATAAAAGAGCCATAGATTTTGCAGTCCCGGAGAGCCCAAAAATTTTCTAAAATTTAAGGGAGAATCGGGGAAACATTAGCTTTGCAGTTGATCGGAGAATGAGAGAGAAGGGACTGACAACCTCTTTTTAGAGGAGAGGGTATAAGTGGACTTACGAACACACCAAAACCAACTATAGTCAAAGCGACGCCTCTGTGAAGCATTCCATCCAACACCTTACGGGCATCCTTTAGGTAGCTAATAGAGGATAGGGAGATGATATGGTGGCAGAGGAGGGAACGAAGAGAGTCTGAGGAGATGAAGGGCGAGGGAGTGGAGATCTAGGAAGGAAGGCAGTGAAAGATGTTGATGATGGCGAGGATTTAGCGGAGGGATTGGAAGTCCTAGAATCCCAGGGCTGGTGGGAGATGGGGTGCTTGTGATGTTGGGTGTCGGAGAGGGAGATGATGTGGCGGCGAAGGAGGAGGGAACGGAGAGAGTCTGAGGAAAAAATACAGACAGGAGAGAGGAAGAGGAAGCAACGGGGAAAAAAAAGAGAAGAGAAAAGAAAGAAGAGAAGAGAGGCGGCGGCAGCGGAGGAAATTTACGAAAACCCTAGAGAGGAAGTATATGCAGACGTCTGGCGCATTGCGCGGAAAAAAAAAGGCTGGTGACTCACATGATTGGCACGTGAGAGGACGACGAAAAACCTCCAGGTCACCACAGCCCTTCGCTCTTTATCTACTTATGTTGAAAAACCTTTAGATGCTGCATGCTAAAATTGTAAATTTTATCTACCAAAGTTTGAGTGTCTCATACAGGAATTAACCTACCTTGCAGCGCCAAGTCAACATCTTTGACAGAACATAGGACAAGTGTGGCCACTACAGCATCCACAGATGCATCACCAAGGGGCAGAGCCTCTGCAACCTGCACAATTCAATGGTCAGACACTCCCATTGCAAAATTAACTCCGAGGGATAAATGACCTTCAAATGAGCTGTGACTAATAAGTCTGCAACAACAGACGGAAGAGGCATCTAAAGTGGATCGTTGACCAATATCAACACCAAGAAAATCCTAAGCTCAAGCCAAAAGCATTTGACAGGAACTATATGCAACTGCCTAATCTCAAACAGACAGAGCAGATATCTTGGCATCTGATGTCCAAGATATAACTTAAATGAAGGAAAGAAGCTTTCATAAATGAAGCAACTGGGTAAATAAGGTAAGACAGGAAAAGCTCATAAACGAGGCATAAAAATCATCATTTCTTGCACCATAAGATTAGGTATGTGCACCAGTCATATCAACTTTAGATGAAAACCAAGCATGCTATCGACATACACAAATTAGCTTTTGGCTGTGGCCTTCTGAAAACCAAAATTCAGCTTTCAAACAGTTAATCAGCCATGCAAAGATACTGTTATCTTGCAGACATGAAAAAGACATCGCTAATAGAAGCCATCTGATTCACCATAGACAGGCTCATACTGCTTGTGTAAATTTAAAGTGAACTACGCCTTTCTGGTGGCTGCCGTGCATTTGCTACTGGTGGTAATAGAGGTTTTTGCGAAGAAGGGAGTACTTCAGGAGTGTATCTTCTTGTTAATGAAGAAGAGATAAATGAGCTGCCTAAACGTGATAACGTAGGCGTCCCCAGGAAGTTAAGACTTGGAGATGGTACACTGCTGTATAAATCGATGGACTGCCTGATACAAGGATATGAGATACCAAGCATTATCAACCAGAGTTTGAACACAGTCCAAGTGAGATGACTAATGTAACCATTTCTCAAATATATAATCCAGTTGTGCAAGTTTAAAACAAATTAACAAAGAACCATTGGAATTGATTCTAAATCTTAAAAGCTAAGAGCCAAATTATTTGCAGCTGGTAGAATTGCACATGAGGGAGTGATGGTTGTACTCTTGATCAAACCAGTATGTTTTATCCTCTCCAAAAACAACTGAAAACTGATGCAAATAAGAAACGCTGGTACATGATTGGAGGAGGAGAGTGGATCTCTGGCACTTATTTCAATCAAAATATCTAGCAGACGGTCTAAAAGTTGGTATAGTTCTGGCCAGATGTTATGACACACCAAAGTTATGGAAATTGGTTCAGTCTAAAGCCCATGAAATGAATACTCTGGATGTGGTTTGGAAACTTCTCTTCCAGAATCAGCGGTTCGATGAAAGGTAATATCCAAAATATGGTTTCTACCATTGATAAATGTAGTAACGACAATTCACTTCCAAAGATGGTTCACAGGGATTAACCACCAGTCCCTCATGACGAAGGAAAATCTTTTCAATAGAGGCAGTAGTCAGCAATATAAGTGCATCATACCAAGTTCCGCTAAGCTGAAGAAGGATCCAGGGAAGACATAAAATGCTCTGGCCTTTTGATAACATTACATAGCCTACCTTAAGCCCATAGCTATCCTTTACTGATGTTACTGGATCCATTCAAACTCATAAACTATTGATATTCATGGCCGAAACAGAATGAAAATACTTGAAGAAGCTCCAAAATATGAATGATGAAAGCATTTCAATCCCATTTCTAAATATCTCTCCTAGCCAAAAATGAATAGGTAAAGCTAAACATCCGGTACCATATAAATATAACAGCTTTCAAGAAACCAAGTGCTTCACTGCTAAATACAGAATCTGCAGAACAAGAACAGAACAAACGTAGAGAACACCATAGCTAGATGTAGAAAGAAACAAATATAGATATGTGCGATAAGATGATACCACCTGTAACTTTGAGGCCAAGAGGTGGTGATAGATTTGCTCTCCGGCCTTTCGTCCTCATTATCATTAGAATAACTGCTAGAATCAGAATTATTTCCATCTTCACTATCTTCTTTCTCCAGTGCCTAAAATCAGTGCTAGCTGCAAAAAAGCTAAGCTCTTCAGAAGCCTAAAATCAGAACAAAATTCGCTTAGCATCAGAGGCAGCAACTAAAGTACAGAACAAAAGAGAGGGTTGCCCCTCTAGAATTCAACACTTCTCTCTGTAACATTATTCAGCAATATAGCAGGTTGTTTACAGAATTTGGACTATTAAACAACTTTTATTGCTAGTAACAACAAAGAAATTTTAAAATATAACAGAAAATCGGCCCTCAAAAATCTCAAATACACCACGGGTGCAAATTTTGAACTGTACCTGGCAAATTCAGAGTTTCAAAGATATTCCCTTGCAATCAGTAACAAAATTTAACCTTAATGCAAGTATGACAATATGAGCATATAAGCAGAGGTGAATAAGCTACACCCAGAACACTACATTCCATTTCCTATACATATCTATGCACACGCTCACTTTGTTTTGCATCTTTGCCTGTACATGATATGTATGCATATGTGTATAAATACACATATACATATATAATATGCATACACACACGTGTAGATTGATGCATATATGCAAATGTCACCATGGTATCAGCAAAAAACTGTCTCATGCGCTGATTATCAGAATTCAACTCTCACTAAGAAACAGATTATATACTTAGAAAATCACACCAAAATTTTGGAAGCATTCAATTTAAAGCTATCAACTGCTTTTTTTCATCAGTAACAACTACTTCTCCAAAGAATTAACTGATGTAGAAGCATCAAACAACTCAAATCTTTACCTACAAAATGAGCTGGCTGATAGAAATGAACATCACATCTCATTAATGCTTCTTGTTAATGCTGCAAAACAGCCAATGTTCCACTAACATTCGGCTAAGGCTTGCAATAATCAACAACCAGTTCTAGTAAATAAATTGACTTCAATTTACAACCAAACTCTGTTAGAAACCATCTATTCAGTTCTCTAATACAGTCTTTCGACTAATTTTGCCGGAATAAAACCGATAGAAACGAATGGATATTCAAACTTGGAAGAGTGATATATGTTAAAAGCCTCTATCACTCCAGTTAGGGTCTGTGTACACCTCTGAATTCAGTAAACTTGAAAAAAAAATAGACAAATAGAGTCACTTTCCTATAATAGAACTCCAAGAATTACATGTTATCAATAAAATTTCCATTTATTCGTGATCTAGGCATAGGTAGCAATCCATTCTATAATTCTTCTCATTACCTCTCGCGAGAAAATGATCCCACTAAAGAAAAGAATTGTACAGTACGAAATAACATAAAAACAAATTTATTAAAAAAAGATATGGACCCTTTCCTTTCTTCCAATTCTTCCTTTTTTTGACAGGAATCAATAAGAACTATTTGAACCCGATTAGATTTCATCCAAATGTACTACAATTGTAGTAGTATAACATATCAACGAAAAGAACTATGTCAATTTCTTCAATTTCATGCAATTATGATCCAAAGAAGAAAAAAGATCGACTAATCGTTCTATGATGAAAAATTTTCGATTTTTATAGTGAAAATGGATTAGTCGTACCTATACAATAATCTATTATTAATATGAATGACTCGTCATTCACTCGGTTTGGAATCATAATCATTATATAGGAGAGATGGCCGAGTGGTTCAAGGCGTAGCATTGGAACTGCTATGTAGAACTCCAAGAATTACATGTAACTCCCTATAAAAAAACTGTAATCACTGACCAGCTAGTTCAAGCTTCTGTCTACATCTTGGGTTTATAAGTCCAAACCATCTGCAGCAGAAAATTAGAATCCTAAACATTAGAAACAAAGGAAATCTGATAGTAGCAAAACTAACAAAACGAATACCCATTCAGCAGATACAAGTTTTCACAGTACGGCAATTAAGAAAAAATTTCTTTTAGAAACAAGAAACACACGTGACCTTGAAAATTTTCTTGTAGCAGTATATGCTCAATAAAACAATGAATATCAAGCTGATGTGTGTACCTTCTCAAAAGTAGATGTACAGGCTTGGAGCAAGCTACTTCGTTCTCCCAAACTCACTGGGTTCTGTTTATTTACTCTTCCACATCCTATTCCTCTGCTTCCTCCACATCCAAAATACCAATAAGGAAAATTCTAAACCTTTTTTTTTTTTGCAAAATCAACAGCATGATTACAAAATCAAGCCCTTTTTACAAAAAAGAAAAACAAAGAGACCAAAAAAGAAGTCTTTTTGAGTACAATGCATTGTTAATGAGTATAATGCATAACCATTATGAGAAAAGATATCCTCCCCAAGAATAATTCAAACTGAACCTCCCAGCTTCATATATGATTCAGAAATTGGTAAAATTAACAATTTCAACATGCACCAAAACTTCGTCAAAACCACAAATAGCACATAAATCAGAAATTTGAAATTCAAAGTTAAGGTAATCTAGAAACATGACCGCAAAATAAAAAGAAAAGACGATAACCTGAAAAGCTAAATCTTTTTCTCCTCCTTTTAGTATTTCCTTGTGATTTTCCTCAATCTATCAAATAGGCGGCAATCTAAGATTATGAGGAGCAGAAAAACTAAAGAAGTAAGCAAAAATTTAAGAAATGAAAAGGAAGCAGAAACTTGAAGGTCCAATCTAGTGTAAAATTGGAAAAATGACAGGGAAATAAATCAAAAAAATTCACAACCTGAAAAGTTAAATTTTTTTTCTCCTTTCAGTAGATATTCCTTCCATTTTTTCAAACTGTTTTCACATTTAAATACTATAACGTTGAGATACCAAGAACCATACACCACATACACTAAACAAAATGACTTCACCAATAATGACTAACCATAGAAAAAAGGGTTTTAAAAATCTCATTTGGCAAATTCACATACAAAGGAAATAAAAGCACAAGTAAGATATTGTCAATAATATTAAAAAAAAAAACCAAAAAAGTATAAATAAACGATTATGATCAGACTAAACTTGGCTGTTTTATCTTACAATTACTACGGGCAGAATCGACTACTATTGTAGGCAATGAACCACATAGTTCAGTTGTCAACTCTGCTTTACCCAACTTGCTCACAAACGCTTCTAGAACAAAGGCCACGTAATTAAATGATAATGCTCAAAATGTAAAAGCATTTGCTAAAAATTTGATCTTCTAGTTTTTAAAACATTAATGAGATGTTATGAAGTTTGAGATGCAAAGAAGAAAAGTAAGTTTGTAAAATCTACCCATTAAATTGAAGAAACAAAATGTCCAACCTAACCATGCTATAATAATAACCAAAGTAATAGGCTCTTTGAAGAGCTAAGAGAACTGGAAAAAAGAAAAAAGAAATAACAGGCCAGAAAAGAAATTACCCCAGTCCAAATCATAATTCGAGAGTAGAAAAGGCAAAGAAAATTATAAGGCACAACTATTCAATATGTTATTTTTAACTTTCACAAGCAAATGTATCAACCCCGTGGAAGTTTCTATTCTAACTTCCTAACCTTCAACCAGCACCTTCTTGTTGAGGAAAACAATCTCTTCATAGAATCAAATAAACAAAAGAACGCAATTAGTATATAATCTAAATATGTTAATTTTCCTATCAGCATATAAATTTAAGAATTTAGGGAAGGGAAAAAAATTCTCTTATTCAGGGAAAAAATAAAAAAAAAGGGATAAATCAATTTAAGTCCATTGAAATAAATGAAGTTTTTTTGTCCAAAAAAGAAACCAATAACAAAATCAAAATTTTTGAAAAAAAGGGGGACCCAGTACATTAGGCATTAGAATCCGCCAAGAAATGAGGGAAAAATTACACTACAATCAGAGCGGCAGACAAAATTTGCAAGCCCAAAAATAACGGCGAGAAAAGTGGAGTTGTATAAAGCATTAAGGAAACCACCGGGATAAAGTAGAAGCTTGTAGTGTAAAATTGATGTTGAACCCATAGCCAAATATTTTAAAGCAAAACAGGAAATCTTTTATGACTTCCGGCAAGGGTGATTTACCATACATATAGATTGAAAGCGAAACAAGGTAAAAGATACTTAAAACCATGAAACTTTCCTCAAATTTCTGTAAAATTATTGAGTTTTTATGAATTTTGATGCATTACATGGTTAAAAGAAATTACCTAAGCAACGCAAGAAAACAACCCAAAAATAATGAAATTGAAGTTCACCTCAGGAAATTTCCTTTCCTCTCCAAAAATGGTACAAGAAAGACAGTAGCAGCTGCATAGACCTAGAGAATGAAGAAACCCAAAATTATTTAAGGAAAATGATAAAGCTGAACGAAGAAACAAAGAAAAGCCAAAATTTTGTTTAAGTAGAAAATAAATCAAAATATCATACCAAGAAAATGCGCGAGGCCTTCAAGACCTTCTGGATCACTAAAAGAACCTACTCCAACATTCATTAAATACTAAATCAACAAAAGAAATTAAGCAGGGTGAAAAAGAAGAAACCGGATGGATTGAAATTTAGTACCTTATCAGTTTCTGGATAGCTGATGAGGAGGACCTCGAGAGCGTTGTGAAGAACGATTCTTCGGTAGTCTCTTTTGTCGGTGCGAGGATTCACGATCCCTCTGACTTCCTGCTCGTTCCTGGCTCCAAACGCCATTTTTCTTCTCGGCAGGAACCAGAGACAGAGAGAGCGAGAAGAAGCTGAGAAGAACAATAAGCTGGAAAGCGAGCAAAACCAACAGAACAGGAGAAGAGAAGGCTCAATTTTCTAAAGTCTGACAGCAAAAGTAAAAAGCTATTGTAAAATGACTATGTTAGACATAAGTTGAAAATATATAGTCCATTCAATGAGTATTTTGAAGGAGCAAAATGTAATTAAACAACGCAAAATGAGCTGGCTCCAAAAAATGAACATTACGTCTCATTAATGCTTCTTGTTAATGCTGCAAACACCCAATGTTCCACTAAGAGGCTAAGACTTGCAATAAGCAGATGAAGTGAGCAGATGAAAAGCTAAAAGGACAAAAATGCCCCTGAAGTGAGCAGATGAAATTGCAATGAATAGGAACCCAAAGCGCCTTCTTATATATTATAAAGATATATGTAATATAAAAATTTATATTATATAATAATACATCTAACTAATAATTATATTATAAAACAATACAATAAGTCTTGTTAAGTTAGTTGTATATTATGTTATAACTATAAACTTATATTATACAAAAATTGGCATTTAGTTTAGCAAAACTTACATATAATTACCGAATTAGGTGAAATCGGTTGTTACCAACTTTCAAATTGAATTCGGAACGAATTTGAATTTAGAATTTGTGAAATCAAATTTGAAATCGATCGAATTTTCCAATGTCCAAATTTTCAAAAATTCCAAATTCAAAGTTCCAAATTACTGAATTTAATTTCGATGCACACTCCTGTCGAGCAATTTGAACAGAAAAAAGAGCTTATGTACAGAGGTAAGCTATACTAGTTTGATTTTATGGCTTTTATTTTCACATTTCTTTTGTTATTCACTTCTTATTTTTCTTGTGTCGCATTATAGTTTGATAGGTACCTATATCTTGGGAGAATACAAGCCAAATAATACTTATGAGGGCACGTAGAAGGTATTTGTCAATTTCTTGCTTATTTTGTGTGGCAAGGTAAAAGGAAAAGTAGTAGCAGCCAAGTTTTATGCTAAAAGCCGTGTTAATTAAGGATTTGTGATGAAAGAGGAGTTAAAACAAAGTCATTGCTCATGTTTACTTTTCTTCACCATTAGTTCTTCTCAAAAAAAAGTTGAAAAATCTTTGCTTTTCACAAGAGGGATAACAGTTAGAACATGGTTAGGCAATTGACATATTATGAATCCACTTTTGCAAATCCTTTTTGGAAAGCCTCAACCCATTCGTCATCAACCACTACCTTAACCAAGTTGGAAGATCAACTAATGCAATAATTTGGAAAATGGAAAATCAATCAATGAACACAGTCATCCAATCCACTCTCTAGACTCGGTCATGCTCCACATGGAAATGTTATCTACTGTCATCACCCAAAAGCAAAAAAGGTAACATGCATGTTCAAGGTTCGACACTTGAAGAGCTTGCCTTCGCCTTTTAAGGATTTTCCTTTCTTTTCTAAAAGAATCAAGACCAAACATGTTTATTAAGAGAACAATTTCCCAATAGTTCCATCCATCCAAAGAATTGAAAAATCAAGACCATAGTCGTATATTAACTGTCATCTAGCCAAAGAACTGAAAACTTGGGCCACAATCATGTTTATTTACTCTACTACTGCTTTCAAGTTAAGATGAATCATGAATTAATTGACCAGTAACAATGGGTCAATTAGGAATGCTATTCGACTACAACAATGAAGGTTATACATCTCATATTTGCTCAGGAAATATTTACAAATACTGCACGAAGATGCTAAAAATGTTATCTACTAAAGTATGGGTCTGTTAATTGCTGAGGCATTACACCTAATCAATTAAGTTGAAAATCGCATTCTGAGAGTTCATAATTCAATTCCAGAATTTCCATACCTGGCAAAAGCCTGAAATGTAACTGTTTGGACATCTCAAAAATGGACAGAGGCCATTTCCGGCCACTAAAAAGTCAACCACCATGTTCAAATGCTGAAGCAAACATACTACTTGTAAGTTGCAACCACAGTTAAATTAGCAATAATTCCAATATTATACACAAGCAATTTTACACAAACCAGACATCTGTTAAGCCCATTTCCCTCGTGGCCCATCCGTATCACAAAATCCCATTAAGGGTCAGCACAAAATATCAAGTATGAAAACCAAATTTGAAGGAAAACATAATGGTCCTCCTCTACCTAGCAAGGAAAGTTTCATTCTTTTGAATATGCAAGAACAACATCTTCAGAATGGCAATTGTTTGTCTATCAGAGCAAAAAACTGGCAACAGAACTTTGATAACAGTTCAAAGAAAGCATACAAAACTCGTTGAAAATCTACTCCATAACAGCAACTCCCCCTACAGCCTTGATTTTCTCTATAATATCATTTGCCTCTTCTTTAGTGATACCTTGCTTAATTAAAACTGGTACTTTCTCAACTAAATCTTTGGCTTCCTTCAACCCCAAATTTGTGAAAGCACGAACCTCTTTGATCACCTTAATTTTTGCAGCAGCATCAAACTTTTCTAACTTGACATCAAATGCAGTTTTTTCTACCTTCTTCTCCTCAGCCTTTGAAGACCCAACGCCAGACCCTCCCTGAGGACCCAAGTCCATGCCCTCCACTAAAACTGGTTGAATCTTAGGATGCCTTAGTCTGTCTCTAAGTGTAGGACCAATCACATTACGCTCTTCAGGAGACAGGGCTGCAATCTGTTCTGCAAGCCGAATGATCTTATCTGAAGGTGGGGGTCTAGGGCCATAAGGATCATAGAAAGCAGGATACTTGTGTCTTACGGGCTTCGATTTGGGATCCCTGGGAATGAAATCAGGCTGAAATGCACGAGACTGTAGAGGGCCGGTAACCACACGAAGAGCGGGATAGCTACGTAAGGATTTGAAAACTACAGAAAGCTTCATGGTTTGAAGATAGTTACAAAAAAATAAATATTTAAGGATGATTTCTGGCGGAGCAGTGCCCTTTGGCACTTGTAGCACTAAATGCAGCAAATGAATGTAATCCTTCCTTCCCGTATAGAAGCTTCACATCCTATTTCCAGTGAGCTTCTCACCTTAAGAAAAGAAATGGGGAAGATGTCAGTCTCATTCATATTTTCAGGGACTATCATCTCATTCTGGAATATGGAAATCCTACTGGTATAAGAAGACTAATCAACAATATGACATCCAGTATTGCAAGCCATTTACCACTCATAAATTTTCAGTCCATCAATCAGATGCCATTGGCTAGCATGCTTGATAAATATTTTTTGCATGAATGTGCTTTGGGAAAAAAGACCACATGCAAGAATGCTTTGGTAAATGGTAGCATTCTAGGAATTGACTTCCATGCATATACCCAGAGCATGGCAGACAAGGCATACAACAAATAAATACTAAACAATGTTTTTTGGAGTATGTTTGGTATTAGGCCGCATTCTTGCTTGAAATCAAATATTACAAAGGAACAATCTTTAAAGAGAGTGGTCAACTTATGGAATGAACCTAACCCTTCCGAAAAGCTAATGTGCAAAATATACCAATCGATTCAATATTAAGTACCCTTGCAAGATTTTCTTGTTCAAAATCCAAACTATCCAATGTCTCAATAAATCAAAGGAGAAAGAGAAACTAGGAAAGGCATTCGAGGGCTTAAGTAAGGAACAAGTGCAAGTACTTTTGGATTATTTTCATTCATAGTTCACTCACACGCAAAAGAAACCTTAACAGCCAACTTAGGGAATAAATCTTACATCCATCTTCATTCAGGTTTCAGACCAGTTCCACCCAAAAAATAAAATAAAATAACTCAGGCTCCAAAACTAACAATTTCATTGAACTTCAATAGGTCTAAGCACAAAATAAAATCCAATCACCAGAAACAAATTGTTATGACAAACGCTAACCGCTAAGAAATAAAGGACTCTTGAGAGGCACAATAAGGCATTAGTAGCGAAAGGTTCACAAGCTACAATCAAGATCAAGAAACTAAAACATAAATAAATCATCCATTTAACAGGGAGAAAAAAATCCTTCATAGCTAAATAAACAAACAAATGAACTTACCAATTTGTTGTTGATTTTGTGGGTTGCATAAACTAATACAGAGAAGGACAGTGAGGAGCGTCTGCGTGTGCAATCGCGCGTAAGAACCCTGGCGGATATTTAAGTGCCCGTTTTGCAATAATGCCCTTGATTTTTTTTTTATTGATTTTACTCTTTGGCCCCGTTTATTACTTTACCATTGTCTGGCTCCTTTATGGCTATATCCAATCGCCTTGTTTTATTGTTTACCTTTTTTTTTACCTCATAGGTGTTAGTAATAAGGGATAATTCAAAAACATCCAGAGATTTCTCATAATATCACTTAGCTTTCCTGAGATTTGTGAAATTTCGCTTACCTCCCCTGTCAGCCGGACATGACTAAATATTCTTATCAAATGTCACAAATTAACAATAATACCTTTGCCATTATTAATAACTATTTAACCAAAAAATCAAAACAAAATAAAATGGTTAAACCAAAATATGTAGATTAAAGTTTTCTGATAATGGTCTATATTTCTCTATATTGAGATCATGGTGAGACAGCAAAAGGCATGGATATATTAAATCTAGTTAAAATCAACCACTCAGAAGGAATTGGTGAGTAATTAACACCTTGAAATGTTCTCTTAATTCTTTGGATGGATGGAACTATTGGGAAATTGTTCTCTTAATAAACATGTTTGGTCTTGATTCTTCTAGAAAAGAAAGGAAAATCCTTAAAGGCGAAGGCAAGCTCTTCAAGTGTCGAACCTTGAACACGCATGTTAACTTTTTTGCTTTTGGGTGATGACAGTAGATAACATTACCATGTGGAGCATGACCCGAGAAAGACAAAGGTCTAGAGAGTGCATGACTCTGTTCATTGATTGATTTTCCACTTCCCAAGTGATTGCATTAGTTGATCTTCCAACTTGGTTAAGGTAGTGGTTGATGACGAATGAGTTGAGGCTTTCCAAAAAGGATTTGCCAACGTGGATTCATAAATTATTAGGGATGTAATCGAGCCAAATCGAGATCGGGAGCTCGACTCGACTCATATGTACCTAGGCTCAAGCTCGGCTCGAGCTCGACCGAGTCC